CTGTGGGCGGGGCCTGGGGGGGGGGTCCGCGGGCCTGTGGGCGGGGCCTGTGGGCGGGGCAGGCTCTCCCAGGGCCTAGCGTGGGCCCGGAGCTTGAGGCTCCCGCTACCTGGAGCTGAGGCATTTTCTCTGGACAGATCGACCAGAAGTATAACGCAAACTGCAAGGCCTTGTACCTAATTTTGTAATTAGGTTCCCTTGTTTTGTGGAGGTTGCTTTTCTTTTTCATTGAGGTATACAGTTGTAAAGTGAATTAAGTGTACAGCTCAATAAATGTTATATATGATACACTCTTATAACCACCACCCTGATCAAAATACAGACTAACAGAATATAGATAATAATAGAATGTTGAATATAGAATGATTCCTTCACCCCAGAAGCTTCCTGTGCGCCCCTTTCCTTGTCTATTGACCCACCCTATCAAGAGGTCACTGCTATTCTGACTTCCATCGTTACAGATGATTTTTGCATCTGTTAACGTCATATGCATGGAATTAGGCAGTATCCACTCTTTGCTGCCGGGCTTCTTGTGCTCAACACCATGTCTGTGACGTTCATCCACCTTGTGTGTAGCAGTGGATCGTTCTTCCTAGAATTGCCTGTATTACTAACATGATGTCTCCATCCACTTGGGCTGCTCTAACAAAATGTCAGAGACGGGGTGGTTTATAAACAACAGGAACCAATTTCTCCCAGCCCTGGAGGACAGAAGTCTGAGGTCTGGGTGCCAACACGGTGGCGTGAGAGCCCTCTTCTGGGTTGCAGCCTTCTCATTGTCCTCACAGGACGGAAGGAGCTAGGGAGCTCTCTGGGGTCTTTTTCATAAGGGCGCTAATTCCCTTTACGAAGTCCCCGCCCTCAGGACCTAATCACCCCCCAAAGGCCTCACCTCCTAATACCATCGAATCGGATATGAGGTTTTCAACATATGAATTGAGGTGGGGGGGAGCCCGCAAATATTCAGACAGTAGCAGTTAGTAATGTCTAGTATAATCCCAGATGACCTTTTCTAGAACCAAAGGCCACTCCCAGACGCCATCCAATCGCTGGAGAGTCGGAAATCGGCATGGTCAGGGCCCCCAGAAGGGCAGTATGGATGTGCAGATCTGGCCAGGAAGCAGGGCCCGCGTGGTCATCAGCAGAGGGTAGACTCTGACGAGCTGCCCAGGCCAGCTGCAGTGTGTTTTCTGGCAAAGGGACATAGGAAGTGGTGGAATCTGGTTCCAGCTCACCAGTACCTCCAAATCTGAGAACAAATCCCGAAAAAAGACTGCCTCGGGAAGATCAAGGACATCTGTGGATCCCCCACTGGTTTTCAACAAGCAGCTCCCAAACTCTCGCCAGCACTCACCCTGCCCCAGTTTTTCCTCCTTGAAGAATCTGATATTTATTAGAAAATCCATTAGTGTCCCGTGATGGCGCCTCATGCTTAGATGTAGGTTGAGAGCATCTGGATAATAGCTGACACCAAAACCGCACTGTGGCACAGGCCCCAGGAGGGAGGAACTATTTTTTCTTCTTTCTTACGTAAAACATCTTTCCAGCTAGCCATGTTCTCCTTTGAATTGGGGCTGCAGCTGACTTTGATTTCAAAACCACTAAGCTCTCCGGACATGGTGGGTGCACGAGAAGGGGGTGCTTGGCGCTGCAGCCTGCCCTGCTCTCCGCAAGGGAAACTGAAGTCGGCGGGGGAACTGCTAGAAATGGTACACGAGAATGGCTGGCCACTTGTGTCTCTTTGGTTTGGTTCCATAAACATTCACCAATTGCCTACTGTATGCCAGGCCCTGTGCTTGGGGCTGGGCATAAGTAAGAGGTCAGGTCCGAGTCTCGGGCTGTCGTATCTGGTGAAGGAGACAGTCACACAGACTTGGGGTGTGCACATGCTAGGACTCAGGCACGTGCATAAATTGGCCTCTGACCGGATGTTCTTGACGCCCCTGCTTCTATGGCGTCATCACCTCTGGCAAGCCTGCCTCGATCCTCGTGTGCCACCATCTAGGGAGCAGTTGGGTACACAGTGCTGAAGTTCAGGAGCAAGTTCTGGGCTGACGGTGAAGATGCAGGAGTCACCCTGCGGGGTCCTCGGCCAGAACGCTGTCACACGTGCTGCAAGTAGGGGAGGACCGTGGCGGGTGAGGGCAGTTGTAGACAGTGCTGGGCCAGAACAACAAGAGGAGGACAGGGTTGCGGGGTGAGGGGGACTTTGTTTACTTATTTATTTATAGGTTGGGAGAGACTTGCACATTAAAATAAGCTGCAGGGAAGGTGGCAGTAGAGACGCTGAGATCCATGCTTTTAGCAGTTATCCGTTAGGGACCATGATGTGCAAGGACTGGGGAAACAGCTGTGACCAGGACAGGTGGAGAGCCTGCTCTTGTGCAGCTGACATTCCAGGGGACAAAGAGACAAAGGAAGTAGACAACTCAAAAAACAAGCTATTTGGGGTAAAGGTAACAAAGTGAAGAAATGAGCGGGGGAGACGAGAGCGTGATGGGGACAGGATGACCAGGAAAGACCCCCGAGGAGTGACTTCTGAGTGACTTTTCAGTTCTTCATCCTCTGAGAGTGGAGGGTGGAGGGGAAGGGTGGAGTATCTGTTTAGAAGTTTGGAGGTGGGCAGAAGGTGAGTGAGGTGGTACCTGACAGCCCTGCTTCTGGCTGAAGTCACACCCACATGTCCCTGAGGGATGTGCATGGCAAACTCACACACTCTCTCAGCCACCCAGTCTCCGCTTCAGGGTCAGCTCAGGATGTCAGGGCCCGGAGACATCCCAGGACCCTCGGCGAACAAGGAGGGCTCTCATGGAGTATGGACAAACAGAGGTTAGCTGCTGCATTTTAAAAAGGAACAACGCCAGACACAAAAGCCTGCACGTTATATGATTCCATTGTCTATATCCAGTCTCGACAAATCCATGGAGACAGAAAAATAGATTAGCGGTTGCCAGGGGCTGGGAATAAGGAAATGGGGAGTGACTGCTGATAGGTTTTCATTTAGGGGGATGAAAAGATTCTGGGACGAGGTAGTGGTGATGGTTACACAACAGCAAGCACTCGATGCCACTGAAATGTACACCTTAAAATGGTTACAATGGTAAATTTTCTTTTGTAAGAAGTTTTAACACAGTAAAAAAAAGAGAAAAAAGGAACAATGTTTCTCTTCCTGACTACCTGTCATATAAGCTCACTGTAGGAAAAATGGAAACCACTGAATTATAAAAAAATCCAAATCACTGTAAAACTTAGTGCATATTTCATCTGCACAAACACATGTATAATTATATATAAAAAATGTCATGCTCTGTGTTCCATTCAGTTATCTGGTTTTTTCACTTGCCTGTTTATCACTTTTGCATGTATTGTATAACAGCTTTATTGAGCTATTACTCACATGCCGTATAATTTACTCATTTCAAGTGTACAGCAATGGTTTCTAGTGTATTCACAGAATGGTATCACCATCACTGCAGTCAACTTCAGAACATTTGAATCACCCCAAAAAGCAACCTTGTACCCCTTAGCTGTCGCTCCCCATTCTATGTTTTTAAATAAAGATTAACAGCATCATTCTCACTGGCCAAAGAGTACCACGTTGCCTCAAATCTAAAACGCTGTCAATTGCAAGATGCCCCATTGTTTTATTACCTCTAAGAAAGAAAAATCCCTGCCAGTTAACCCATGACACATGCTCCCTTAGTACCTTCTTGTCACATAATTTAATCATTATTGAAAGAGGGCTTTTAGTCTTATTCGGACATATTTAGCACCAGCGATGCACAGAATTCAGTGGACGTAACAATAGGAACACCTATGACCAGATTCACGCATGCGCAGGAATGACGGTTACTCATAAGACACATGCTCACCTCAGAGATGTTAAGACGTGAAGAAAAACCCTAGCATCAACGATGTCCATATTGCAGAGTATGGAGCGAACTTGGCTACATAACATCGGGAGTCAACTCCACTAACATGTAGGAAAGGAACCTGTGTGCGGGACAGTTCACAGCATCAGTGCTGGAGACCCAAGAAAAGATCGGCGAGCACAGCTGTCCTAAAGCGTCCCTCAGGAAGCGTGTGCTAACGGCGTGCTGTGGGCCTCTGTACTGCCCTGAACAAGCTCTGCCGTCCCGCCTCCCTACGACATTCCTTTAAGGGCCAAAGCCCTGGACAAGAGCCTCCAGGTGTGAAAGCTACAGCACAACTGCCAGGGTCTTGCCTCCCACCATTTGGAGTTTCCTCCCTTCTTGGCTAAATAGCCAATAAACTACAAATATCCTCCAAATAAGTGTGCTGCACGCCCGTTTCCATCGGCCACCCAGACTCCGCTGAGATTAGCACCAGCTGGTTTGTACACAAACATGAGGAGCACAGAAGTCCAAAGAAAGCACCAAGGGAGTCCAAATGCAGGGCTAAGCATGCACTCCAGGGCTTTTTTGTGAAGCCAGAATGTTCTCAGTGAGATCTCTCAGCCAATGGTGTAGTAGAAGGGAGCATAGTATTATAATAATAGTAACTAGCAATTACGGAGTGCCTGGCACACATTTATGCTCTTGTAACGATTGCTTTGCTTCTTAAAATATTCGGTAGGAGGGCCTTCCCTGGGCTCGAGTCCTGACCTTGTGATCCTAGGCAAGTCCCTTCACCTCTACGGCCTCAGTTTCCTTAAATGTAAAAAGAAGGTCCTAGCTGGCCCATGTCATGGGGCTGCTGAGGTTTCAAATGAAGTGATTGAGTAGGGCGCTTATCCCTGGGCTCGGGCAGCGCTGCTGTGTCAGCTAAACTGAGGGAGGGATGGAGGGGCCAGTGATTCCCTGGGTCCCTTGTGACCTTCACAGGACCCTTCCGTGCAGGTGGATGAGATCTTGGGGGACCAGCTGACTGCCAAGGAGCAGGTGTTCACTGCACTGAAGCAGTTTGCAGCCGAGCAGCGGGTGGATGACCTGGTGTGGGCGCTCACCCTGGCACTGCCCCGCGAGGCCCGTGGGCCACTCCTGGACAACCTCAGGTACCTCAGCCGGTCAGCCGGGGTGGGGTGGGCAGGCAGGGTGCGTCTCACTCAGGGAGGTCTGCTCTCCCACCGTCGCCCCAGGCACTGCGGCCGCGTAGCCTGCTCCTGAGCTGGACTCCTTCAGTCCCAGAGCAAGGGTGGGCCAGTGCTCCTGGGAAGGGCAGCTCTGCCCGGTGCCAGGTCGTCACGCTAAGTGAGAAAGAAGGGGCTGCTAACCGTTGGGCGGGGACAGGCACAGAGGGCCCGATCTGAAGTCACAGCCTCCCCTGTTCTATGCCCAAACCTAGATGGTAGAAATCAACAGGATGCCAAGATACTCCTAGTTCTCTATGGAGACAGTGCAGTGGCTCAATGTCAAGTCCAGGGTTGTGCTGCGTGGGTCCCTGAGACCAGGGTCCGCTCCACCCTCTGATGATGCCGGCTGCTCAATGTCAAGTCCAGGGTTGTGCTGCGTGGGTCCTCTGTGCCACGATCTCACCAGGACCCTAGAGGAACACTCTCTGAATCCCCCCAGCACGATTATTCGTCCCGTTTCACAAAGACGGACTGGGGTTCAGAGAGGCTAAGAGGCTGGCTGGAAGCCACACAGCACAGGAGGGGCAGGCACAGGAGCGCGGACGGAGTCAGCTGTGCGCTTTCTGCTCTTCCGCTCAGCCTCAGACCCCGAAGTTTATGCTTCAGGAAAAAAAAATCTCCCGGTGGTCCCCACCTGAAGTGGCCCAAGGACTCTCCTGGGCCCCCTCCCAGCTTTTCCTGCCAGGGTGTCACTGCCCGACGCTGCCCAGCTTTGATCAGGTCCCCCTGGGCCTGCGCCGCGTTCCCTGCGGGGGTCCTGCGGGGGTCCCGCGGGGGTTTTTCCCTCTCCGCCCCGCCTCCCCCGGCTGTGACTGCTCTCCCGCCCCTGCCCTCCCCTCCCCCTTCCTGGGCGTTTCTCGCTGCCATTCACCCCGCAGCCTGCCCCTCCCTCTGGGCCTGGCCAATGTCAGGGACGGGGCTGGCCACCACCCATCCCCCCGCCCCCCCCAAGCCCTGGCGGGCGCAGCGCCTCGGCTCTGCAGCGGAGCACAGAAGGCCACCGAAAGAGGCCACCATGAGCTGCCTGGGGTGAGTTAGGGGCCCGCCCCTTGCTGGGAAAATCCGGAGAGGAAAAACAAGAAAGTTATTTCTGGAGCCGAATTTCGGATGGAGAGGCGATGGGTGGGCAGCCCCCCGCCCCCCTCCGCCAGGGCCGTGCCAGGGACGAGCGCGGCGGGCTGTCCCCTGGGAACTTGGCACACGTCTCAAGGCTGCGAGCATCCGGACTCCGCCGGAGGTCCCCTCTGTTCCCTTCGCCTCCCTTTGGTGGTGCCCGGCTTCTGTCCCCGCCGCCGCTGCCGGAACAGCCCCCACGCCTGCCTTTCCAGTCTGCAGCTGGTCCCCAAGCGACCAGCAGCGGGTCAGGAAGAGCCGGGGTGGGGGAGGCGCCCCCTTGGGCGCACGATGTGGAGCTTGGGAAGTGGGAATCCTGGACAGCTGGGGTACCCGTTCCCCGCAGCATCCTGGGGGCGCTGCTGGCGAGGACGAAACAGCAGCCTCTGTAGTCAGCGCGTGTCAAGTGCGACAGGAAAATTGGGGAGACTGCTAGAGGAGGGGTTGGCGCCCCGCTGGGCTCTCCTGGGAGTGTGGCTTCAGCTACTCTCACCCCTACCTCCCCCCAACTCCAGGCTCTGGTGGCCCAGGGGTGCAGTGATCCCCCACCCAGCACCTTTCCAACAGAGCTCAGGGGGGCGTGGAGGAGTCACGGACACAGCTGTGATTCCCAGGGCAGAGTGCTGTCGGAGACAGCCAAGGGCTACATCATCAGGGGGCAACCAGGGCGGGCTCCTCGGAGGAGGCAGCAGGTGCCAATGCTGTGGCTCAGGCAGTGACTAGTAGGGTCTGGTGGTGTGTCCTGTGGAGATGAGGAAGTTCTTCAGGGCCAGGCGTCTAGCCACAGGGGTGGACCCCTGAGCGCCAAGGTAGGGTGGTGCCACACAGGCTCATGGGTCCCCAACACTGGATGCCCAACAGCGCCCAGCTGTGAACCATCCTGCATTGGGGAAGGGGTCTTGAAGACCTATGGCTGTGGCCCTGGGACCCTCTTCCCCCACATCGAGGAAAGACAAGGTTTAAATGAGACTCTGAGCAGCAAAGGGGAGGTGAAGATATATGTGTGTGTGTGTGTGTGTGTGTGTGTGCATGTGTGCGCGCTCAGTAGAGGCTGGAACCCATCCAAATCACCCTGTGGCCTCTGAGGGGTGGTCCCAGTGGCCAAAAAGAAGGCTTGAGGAGAAAGAAGAAGCTGGGCCATTTAGCACACAGTAGCCACTGGCTCCGTGTGGCTATTTAAAATTAAATTTAATGAGTATTAAATACAATTTAAAATTCAGCCTCCCAGTCTCACTAGCCACAGTTCAAGTGCTCAGTAGCCACACGTGGCTAGTGGCGACCGTTCGCATCATTGCATCAAGTTCTTGGGCCAGTGCTGCGTGAGAGGGAGATTGGGGTCAGTGGCAGCAACACCAGCAATGGGTCTCATCTTCCTTGACAATGGCGGCTAATCCCAAGGCTCCAAGCCTAATTTGGGTCTGTCCCCAAAGGGATCCCAGTTTGATGAAGTGATAAAATGGCTTTCTAATTAGGACAAACCAGGCACTTTGGAAAGTGTGACGTGGTTAGCAGGGAACAGGAAAGCTCCATCAGCTTTAGGGTCTGCTAGTGTTTCAGGAAATAAGGGGGGGGGCAGGCGAGGGGGAAGGGGTAGCAAAGGAGGTGGTGGAGGAAGCTGGAATTTGAAATCCCCACAGACCTAGCTTGAACCCCGAGTTCACTCACTAGCTGTGCAACCTTGAACAGGCTCATTGACCTGTACCGTGTATCTATAAAATGAGACAGTAGTACCTACATGTCCCCAGTGGGGTTCTTGGAGGGAAATAACGTAAATGAACTCTGCCAGCTGCAAGCCCAAAAGAGATTAGTCGAGAATCCGGGGCGCGGGGCGAGGGAATATCTACCTGCACTTCCTTCACCCTCTTCTGCTGTAAGGACAAGTGTCAGGGACACCCTATTGAGAGACAAAGTTATTGCAAGAAGTCTATGAAACTGTGAAGCTAGACGTGCCGGGCGTGTGAATGTGCTCAGTTAGCTCAGTTTCCCCTGAGGAAGGTCTCTGTCTCCTTAGAGAGGTTTCTCAGCCACGGCCCTGTGGACGTTTTGGGCCCAGTAATCTCTGTGGTTGAACTACTCTGTACATTGTGGGATATTTAGCAGCATCCCTAGCCTCCACCCACTAGATGCCAGTAGTGTAGCCCCCTGCCAGTTGTCATTTTGTGACAACCTAAAATATTTCCGGACAGTGCCAAATGTCCCTTGGGGGGCAGAATGGCCAGCCCCCTGTTGAGAACTACTACTCTTGAGTGATCTGCCTTTGGCAGCACCGTCTCGCTGGGGTAGGCACTTCAGGGAAGGCCAGCTGTTGCCTGACCCCTGGCCACCCCATGCTGCTTTGGGTCCTCTGACCAGATGTGCCAGCTGCTGCCTCTTCCGGTGCCTTCACTGGCGCCAAGGCAGTGTGTGCACTGCTGGCTGTGTCTGGATTCGAGCGTGAGCATTTGCTCTTTGCTGGCATCTTCTCTGCCCACAGAAAGGTGGGCAGTGTTCATAGCCTTCGGGCAGGCTGGTGCTGGGGTCTGGACCATTGCAGCTTCTCCATCATGATGTAACAGCTGTGGCCCTGTGGGGGTGTCAGGGAGCTGTGCAGGGCCGAGGACAAGGCTTGGGGAGGACGCGGCTCTGGCTTCCTGCTGCTGCCAGGGAGAAATGCAGCCCCGAGGGGTCACCAGAGGGTTGTGGCCTTGCTGGGGTCAGGAACGTGGGGTGGAGGTATGTCGGGCAGTGTGGCCTGGACAGAGTATTAAAGATTGACTGTCAGGTCCACAGCGTCCTCCCTGTGGCGGACTGCAGGAGCCCACCGGAGACACCATGTAAGATTCCTCCCAATACCGAGCCAGAGGTGGAGTCCCTCAGGTTCTTGCCTCTGCAGTTCCAGCCTGTCTAGGTGGTGGCCACCTCCTGGTGAGGAGAGAGCCTTGTGCTGATGTCCCCTGCTGAGGATGGATCCAAGGAGCCCCTCCCCAAGATGCCCTGGGCTGGCTCCCCCACACCTATCAGCCCTTTGTGATCTGCAGGGAACAATGCAGCCCCCAGGGGATCTGCTCCGGCTCTGAAGTCCAGGGAGTGGCAGGCCCAGAGCCACAGGAAGAGTCCTGACCCCTTTCTGCTCTCTCTCTTCCAGTAGCTGTGCCTCCCCTCTGCTCCCTCTGGAGGAAGAACCCATCTTGGGGAGGGGGGGACTCTACTCCCCTGGGAATTGCGAGTTTGGTGGCTCCCTGCTCACTTCCACTCACTCGCCAGGTCTCATACACTCTCCTACCTCTGTTTTCGGATTCTAGACACTTGTCCCATCAGAACGCCCCTCCCTGGCCGCCCCCAGCATCACCGCTCCCCTGGTGCACCAGAACCTCTGGGTCCCTGCACCCCCTTGCATCCCCAGGCTCTCCCGTGGCTCCCCACCAGCCTCCGAGTGCAGTCTCGGGCGCTGACAGTGGCGTTCAAGGCCTCCCTCTCTAGCGTCTTTTCACTGGAGCTTTCCCCAGGGTGGGTGTGTCGGGGAGGGGGCTTCCTCCTCTTTGCCCTGACTCCTGATGAGCCCCTGAGGCCCGGGACAAAGGCCACCTCCTGCGGACAGCCTGGCCTTGCTGTACAAGGGGCAGTCGGGGCTTCCTCCCAACCGTCGGGTTCAGTCTCACTGCAGCCGGGTGCTGGGGACACGCCACTATGCGGGCATCCGAGAGATCGGAGGCGAGGTGCACGGGAGGGACTAATGGAGGGGACCAAGAGAAGGCGCCGTGACAGCTGGAGCCGCCCCAGCTCCTCGCGAGCTAGATGAAGGGTCCCCCCGGAGGGGCGGGGCAGGGCGGAGCCACCCGAAAGGGGGCGGGCGCCGGGCTGCGGGCCGGGCTGGCTCGGGAGGGGCCGCGCGCGCTGGTCCGGCAGAGGCGCGTGGAGTCGCCGCGCCCTCGTTCTGCTCGCGCCGCTCGGCCACCCGCTGACGTCGGCACCTGCCGCGCCGCCACCATCCCCGGCTCCAGATGGGGAAGGACCAGGGCTTCTCCCGGCACTTTCGGTAGCGTCCCCACCGCGCCCCCCGCCCCCGGGAAGCTTTTGCCCTGGGCAGGGGGACCCACCTCGCGCAGGCCTGAGAGGGGTGGGGCGGGGGCACTGAGGGACTTCCCTGTCCTGGGTGGGCACTCGCCGTGCCCGGCTGGGGCGCGAGGGCTGGGCAGGTTGGACATAAACTGGAAGGGTACAGGGGGGCGAGTTCCCGCGGGCAGCCTTGGGGGTCGGGATGGGGGCCAGGGACTAACGGCCAGGATGGAAAAGCCCTCTGTCCTTCCTGAGACTGGGCTTGTCAAGGGACCTGGACAGAGGGCGGAATCAGGGAATGTGGAGGAGAGAGAGGACCCCAGGGCAGCCCGGAGGGGGCGGGGTGGGGGGATCTGCAGGTGGATATAGACCTGACCCCTGCCCTCCAGGCAGAGAGAAGAGAACTGACCCCGAGTGCAGCATCATTGTGTGGCCGCACGAGAGTCCTATGACCTCAGAGGAGCCTGTTGGCATAGTGGGGACCTGGGAGTCCTTGGGCAGCCATAACCAGGCTGTCAGGGTCAGAGGGGCCGTGATGGGCCATAGTGGCCCATTAGACCCCATTGCGCATGGCTTTGCTGGAACAGTTGATTCTGAGAAGACCGGGGCTGGGCTGAGCGCTTGGGCCACACTGAGCCGCATGGAGGGCCCACACAAGCCAGGAAGGGTATCTGGCTCAGCCCCAAGGACACCAACCAGGGGAAGAGCCACCTTACCTCCCCCCACCTGTGCAGTTGGTGACTCACTCTGGTTCCCGCTTGGGGGGACGGGGTCTTTTCTAATTGCTGCTGGAGGATGGAGCTGGGATGGTCATCTGGCCCCTGCCCGGACTCGGGGTGTGAGGCTGATGCCTTCTGAAGTCCAAAGTGTGAGGTGGGCAGTTTCCGGCTCGTCATCCCTCCTTTGCCTGGGCATGAGGGATGTGGTGTGTCCAGGAGGGTGTGGGGAATTTTCAGGCCAGGCAGATGGAGGTGTCAGGCTCCAGAGACGTTGAGTGACCATCTGGGGAATGAGGCTGAGGCTCTAAAATTTTGAGAATTGCTGCAGGTGAGGAAGGATGGGCAGATCAGGCAAGGATGCTCCTGGCAGAGTTGAGCAGGTCATTCCTTCTGGCCTCCTGGTTTCCTGGGACATCTGTGAGCAGAGCTCACTGGGGGTAGGGGGACAGGCCCTGATGTGCCCTGTTTCCTGAGTGCACACCCCTTCCCTCCCTCCAGGCAGCTGTTCTGCCCACCTGGCCTTATTAGTCCTACTCACAGAAGTCTAGGGAGCTGAGTGGGGGTCACTGGGGGTGTATTTCAGGTGGTTACAAGGCCACCGCTCACCTCTCCTGCCCCCTCTCCGCCATGCCCTTGGCACTGGCTTCTGGTACAGAGAACAGAAGGGAGACCTCGCTAGCAACCAGAACTTCATGGGCTCTCAGCAGAGCCAAGGGCTAGCTGTGTAACCCTGGAAAGTTACGGAGCCTCAGAGTCCTCTGCCACAGACTGAGGAGGCCACTGGGATGGTAACTGTTGCCATCACTCAGAGATGTGGTGGGGCCACCAGTCGTGGCAGAACCCCTGTTTACTGAGTCACTGAGTTCCTCCCATGTGTTGAGCCCTAGCTTGTCACTGTGGCTCAAAGCCGAACTACAGACCCAGCCCTCAAAGAGCTTCCTGATCGCGGAGAAGATTCATGGTCACCGAGGAACCATCCTGGGGTGCGGGACCCCTGCCCCCGGGGGACCATGAGAGCTTCCCTTAATTCTCACTACTTCCACACGGCTTCTTTGAGAGCAGGACCACAGTGCCTTCGGCTTTGAAGCCCAGGGCCTGGCTGGCCCAGGTAGCAGGGACTTAGACGCAGGATTAACCCGAAGGAAGTTAGTGCTGGGCGTTGAAGGGTGAGCCACGTTTAGTTAAGGAAGCAGAGAGTGTACGGGTGGGCAGGAGCAACAGCATGGGGGAAAGTAAGCGAGGCAGGCAGGGCTGGAGGTGATGGTCCCGGCGCACTGAGTCGGCAGCTGTAGAGCCGGCCGGCCAGAGAAGCAAGCAGGAGGGCCGGCCGGCCAGGGAAGCAAGCAGGAGGGCGGGGAGTGTGATGCCCCGGGGCAGATTGTGGCTTCTTGCTTCTCCATCCCAAGTAGCCTGGAGTCAGGCTGGGAGGAGGCGGGCGGTGGGGATCCCCGGCTGAGGGTGGCCTGGCAGGTGCGGGAAGGTGAGATCAGGGAGCGGGGGAGAGGCGGGAGAAGGGGAGACAGCGGCAGGAGCACACGGTCCATGGACTGGTTTGGGGGGTCCTGAGGCCCCCCAGAGGCCAGAGTACCGGGGAAGGTAGGAGGTAGAGCGAGACCGACGCCGTGGTCCCTGAGTGGCCGGACAGGTTGGGAGCACGTGGCCGGACACCGAAGGGGAGACTGGGGCGCCCGCCACCCCGGGTAGGGCCGGGAGACCAGGAAGCGCCTGGGGGCCGCGGTTGGCCGCGATTGGGGTACGGTCTGGGGGCGCGCCCCGACTCTGCCGTCTCTCCGGCAGGATCTTCATCCCCAAGAAGCACCGGGCGCGCTTCGACGAGGTGGTGTCACAGGGTCTGCTGGGCAAGTTGTGCCGCGCCCGGCGGGCGCAGAGCGCGCAGCGGCTGCGTCGGAGCCGCAGCGAG